TACATGACATCACAAGGTGGAATAGAGCATTACTCAAAGGTGTGAATGAAACAAAACACAACTCCATGTACGTTTTTGATGAGATAACAACATTATGACATCACTAAAAGTTACATTTTCAAGTCAATTTTGCTTTAATATTGGACCATTAAATAACTTTCAACAAATCTCAGTAAAGTAACGCATCTTATTTTGCTTGTCAACCTAATGTTATGTAAAGACGGCTGTATGGAAATGTCTGTTTGTCAAACCTTGCTCTCATAGATTACATTTAGAGTCCGATTGTCGCTCCGTTTCCATTCTCTTCCTCTCTCCTCTCCTCTTTCTCTCTCTATTGCGTGTGTGTGATTATGTGCTCAGACCCTGGCGACTGGCTGATAAAACACTAGAAGCCTGTGTCTGTTTGTGGATTTCTTTGGAGGAGGAGATTCCCACCGTGCCTGCTTGGTCTGGCCCCTCCATGTTTTGCTCCCTGCACGCGTGACTCAGGACAGCTGCTCCATTCTACCGCCCCGACCCGTCATCTCCTCTCCCCTCATCTGATAAGGCCGTAGGGGGGGTCCAAACACTGGGCAGATCTCCTCCATAGCGCCTAGCGGACTAACAAAGCGCCCTCCTCACACACAGGGAGCAGGGCATTACCATGTGAAAACAGCAGGTCTTATCTGCACTGCACTGAGAGATGGACTCAGAGGGAGTTATTGAGGTGTTAGGAGCGAGAGCGAAAGAGTGAGAGGGATAAACTTGAGAGACTTCAGGCAAAAGAATATATAATAGAAGCAGAAGTGGTACTAGAGTCAAAAGTATAGAGTTTTGCTGCTTTTTCAAAATATTAGGGCTCAACTTAAAGTAAGAAGTTGTTTTTTTAGTCTATCTGATCAATGCTATAACATTGGTTCCTCATCAAAAACATACCTGAGTTGTGTTTTGTTTCATTCATACATGTTTAAAACAGAAACTCTGCGAATGTTTTCTATCAAATGCTAAACTCTCATTACACCTTCACTAGAATCATTTGGATTTCAACATCTCTACCGAACCGAAGTTAAAACTTGTACCGGTTATCTTGAAAACTAACTAACTTCACAAAATGGAGCAGAGAATTTTGAGCTTTGGAGATGTAGGCAGACTAATAATGTAGGATTACTCAAACATTAAAACACAACTCCGGGTATGTTTTTCTTGAGGTAACAGCGTCATAACGTGGCTTAAATCTCAAATCATGTCAAAGTTGAGAAAGAAAAGAAAGATATATTTGACCATGGAGGAATAAATAAGCAATGAGAGAAAAAAAAGTATGTTGGGAATACACAAAAAATGAGTAAAATACAAATTACAGGCATATAATTTGAAAAGTAATTCAACCACAATGCATTTAACAGTCTTTTGGGCAAAAAGTTGATTATTTTCTTTGGCATTTTTGACCACCACAAATCACACAATAACGCCAAAATTTCAGTCCGACAGGTGTCAAGGTGTTTTTCTCAAGGGCACAACATTGTATAAAACCTGTGGAGGAACTAGTCAGCTGGCCCTGGGAACACCTTGGGGAGGAGCTGAAGGAAGTGTCCAGGGTGAAGGAAGTCTGGCAGTCCCTGTTTAGACTGCTGCCCCCGTGACCCGCCCCTGGATAAACGGAAGAAAATGGATGGATGGGAAATACCAAGCTTTTCATTGGCAATATTGAGAAGTTCCTGAAGAAAGGAAAGGTCAAAAGACATGTTAACTCCAGAACACCTCCACATCTGCAACGTGACATGAGGAAAACAACATGTGACAACAAAATACGTCCATGTTGAAAAAGTTAAAAGCTCAACTCGGTCTCTAAAAACCCTGATAAGACATTTCTGATGAGATTCTTACACCTGTTGCTGTAAGAATTAGACAACTGATTCCAAAGGTGAAGGTCACAAGTCACTGAGCTGGAGGTCGTGAGATGAATTGGACAATACCATTTTAAAATTATTTGTTCATTTAAAGATTTTTTAAACTGACAACAATAGCTTCGGAGAAATTTGGTCAAGCAACACAAATCTAAATCTGATTTGAAAAGATTTGCAAACTGAAATCAATAGGCTACAGATGTCAGTGTCATTTTGCAGTGGGGGTGGGCTGCGTGGATATTTGAGGGGAGTATTATTACCATACAGATCATACTATTGCACGACTTCAATATAACTTCAAACAGTCTGAACTGGTGACCACTCTCAATTCATTGCTTTATATAATTCGCCATTTTCCAGATAATCACCAGTCCACCATCTGGCATGAGAGAGACAAAGTGTGGAGCGTGCAGCCTTTTAATTAAAACCGTGTATAGTGAAGGGCCCGGGCTAAGCAAACACGGGCCTCCACATCAGAACTGAGATGAAGGAGAGGAGCAAGGGGCACCCACCAGTAGACAGTGGGTGGGGGTGGGTGTCATAAAAGACTGTGGGTGCTATAATGCTTTGGTGGGAGAGAGGAGACAGGTAGAGTGATGAGGAGAAGGCCACTAAGATTGTATCTGGCGGTATCTGATGGATCGTAACGTCATGCGGATATTACGGTGGGAGGGACGGGCCAAAAGGTTATTACGTTTAACTGGGAAGACATTTGTTACAGAGATAGAGAATAGTGGTAAACGTGGACGATGAAACTGACAATGAATACATGAACGAATGATTTCTTACATGAATGTTTATTGTTGGTGTTGTTATGGGTAATTCAGGGGAGTAGAAGGGGGTGTGCTTCATTTAGTAGGGGTAGGGTGACATCTGTTGGTGAAAACTGAAACTGCAGCTATGATTACTGTAAATTTGAACGTAAACTTCCGGAAGCTTGGGGGATTTGGATTATCAGAAGCAATAAAATGCAAAGTGAAAAATATGTAGACTAAATTGCAAGTCTCAATGACAATGATTTCACCCCACGCTTTTGTGAATAGATTAATTTCTCCCATGGGACATTATAACTCAATTAAAACTCTTCTTTTTAAGTACGTGGAGATTAGGGCTGGGTATCATTCAGAAGTTGCCGGTACGATACATATCTCAATACATAAGCCACGATATGATACATATGTCGATACAGTGGGCTTTCTATTCAAAACAATATATTTCAAATCGATTCGATACGGTTCATTAAAAAATAAAGGGTAAATCATGGCTGTGATACTAAAAGTATTTGTTAAACTAGGGTGACCATATTTCCGTTTGTGAAAACCCGGACACCTTGAGGCGCTTTGCGCGATCGGGCAACTGCAGAGTTTACCGCAGTGAGGTGCGGAGCTGAGCCGATCCATTCTCCTGCGTCACCTCAAAGCCCGTTCTGACGGTGAGTCCTGTTTCAGTTCTGGTTTAGTCCTGTTTTAGTTCTAGTTCAGTCGTGGATTAGTCCTCCCCTTCAGTCCTGGGTTAGTCCTGGGTTAGTCTTGGTTCAGTCTGTGGCGTAGGCAGGGCAAAAGTTTGATATAATCTCGGGTGAACGGGCAGGTGCGGTCCTGTACTACGTGGGTGCGGTGTTGTACTGCGGGTCTCCAAAAATGGACCCGTGCGGGACTCTGCGCTGTTGGGCTCCATTATGGAATAAATGAATCTTCAGTTTGTTACATAAAGAAGGAGGAAAATAACACAAGGACGACAGCAGCAATAAGTTTTAAGAAGGAAGTAAAAAGGGTTGCACCTGTCCTGTCTGAGAAAAGTGTATAAAGTTTGTGCTGAGGGGTTTTACAGCCTTAACACAGATAGAATAATTGTAAAATATAAAGTTGACTACTTCGCGGATTTCACCTATCGCGGGTTATTTTTAGAACATAACCCTCTCGATAAACGAGGGACACTGTACTCTCACCTCGCAACCTGTGCACATGTCCTCCCACTTGTCCTGACCGGGACGGAAAACGGAGAATTTCTTGTACAAGTCATTTTTAATGCGCATTTGTGCTTCGGTATGTTGCAGACTGACCGACTGTTTGTGTTTGTGTTTGCTCCTTCTGAGTCACAGACGCTACGAGAGACGCTCAGTTTAATGAACGGTACTGAAAACCCGGACATTTTGCATCACTTTATAAAAAAAAAAAAAAACCCGGACGCCCCGGACATGACGCAAAATACGGACATGTCCGGGGAAAAACGGACGTTTGGTGACCCTAGTTAAACCACTTCCTGTGCAAATTACTATGAAACATGAACATTTTAATTTTCAAAACAGTGAAAATCTCAAATGTGTCACATAATCAAATTTCCTTCCTCTAAACACGCAAGAAAACTGCAGCTATAACAAAATAATTTAGTAAAATATACCAAAAAATCCTATTGGTGATATAACAGTACAGCAGCCCACGATATCAATACTGTATCACTACATTAAACTATATGATATATCATTATCTCCATACTTTTGCACAAACCTAATGAAGATACTAACTTGAACATTTTTAAACAAATACGTGTTCAAAAAGATTTCTCACACTGACCAATGATGGAAATAGTTGTTGTGTCACTTGGCAAGGCACTTTAGCTAAGGCACTGGCAGCTATGGTTAAAGAAGCAATAAACTAACACAAAATAGTTTGAATAGTTCAATGGAGATGGATGAATAATACATTGTGAAGCACTTTGAGTATCTGGAGGCGATATATAAATCAAAGGCATTTGTACTTTTCTTAAAGGGCCCATATTATGCTAATATGCTTTTTTTTTCATCTGTTATAATGTTGTTGTTTTTTTCATTCACACATGATTAACAGAAAGCCCCCTTCACTAAAATCATATGGAGGATTTCAGCCCTGGAAATGTCAAACTCTACTAAACAAATAGGTAAAAGGAGCTGTTAACATAAAAAAACTACCACTACATAGCATCACAATGTAGAACAGAGTATTTTGAGCTTTGAGATGTAGAAAGACTAATAATAATTAAAAAAAATAAAACAAACAAAAAACAAAAACAAAAATCCTCAAATATGTATGAATAAAAAAAAAAAAAAAAAAACACCTCCAGGCATGTTTTTGAGGAGGTGACATTATAAGGATTATAACATTACACTAATATTTTTTGCATAATATAGGACCTTAAATTATGTTTCTTTCTTTTTTTGTTTGTTTGTTTGTTTTTGTTATTTTTAATACTGTAAATCTTGTTATCATAAATCTAACAATATCCACTGGATGCTTCACTGTACACACACCTTCTCAGTAAATGAAACACATGGACAAATGACAGATGAATAATTTTATATTACTTTAAATGTACAATACAGAAACTTTGAACATAATATTTTGGAAAAAATTATTGCATGTTTTGACAGAGCAAAACAGGTCCTGATGCTGTTTTCCAGTTTACCGCTGAAGAGATGATATGAAAACTGCGACACAGTGATTTGAAATGATCAGACAAGATTATCTTTGGTGTGATTGTTTAGCAGAAACAGCTATCACTAATATAAAATCATATTTACAATGATAGACATTCATTCTATTAAATACATCTCTTGACCCGCACGCTAGCTTCTATTTACAGTGTTGAACAAAAACAGTCACAAACACAGTTCCTTCAGATAAAGGCATCAGTCAGTTTTCTGTACTCTAAAGGCTGCACAGGGAAATAAACAACAGAAGTCAGTGGTTTAAAAGACCAATGTGAAACTCACCAAATCTCCCGAATATAATATCCATCAAAATGAAGGCACTTGAGGTTAGACCAGTACATAAATATCTCAAATGTCTTCTACAAAATGTAATAGGTTTGTGGCCAATACAATACAGACTATAGGAATGATAACAGATACAAACGTATCTGTATGTTACAAGAGGGTATCCCTAAATGTAGGTAAAAATAAGATACTAACTGCAACCACAAGAGGTCAGTAAAGTGACACATTTATGTAGTTATAATCTTACATCATTAGTATGTTCACATGACCCTTCTATTATAAAGTTAGTATAAAGTAAAGGCACATTTAAATTGGGTTGCATATGCATTTGCAAACAAAATTTGAGCATTTTTGTAACAAAACATCCCCTAAGATTGACATAGCATTTAAAAGGATTTAGTTCAATACTCGGTACTATAAATTGATATGTATTTCAACATAAGCTGCTCTTGTACCTCAAAGTGTTACAAAACGAGAAATAATTGATCTATTACAGTCAAAGAGGGCTAAAGATCATCATATACAAATCTGAATAAGTAACATTGGGTATAAATCACTCACAGAAAAGAGAGGCTCATTAATACAGAAATGTGAAGTTCTTCTAATTATGCTAAGTATAATTTGTTCTACAATGTTTTACTGTACTCTTATAATTAAACACTCAATTTACTCTGATGGTTTATATCAAGAATACATTCTTGTATAGTCACATCGATTCTCAGGAAGAACATGAAGAAATGCTGACCTAAGTATTGCTGTATTTGAACCATGGAAGATACGATTTGAAAAAGTGACATATTTAGAACAAATATGTAGATTCAGTCTTATATCACACTGAGTATTTTCTTCAGTAAAAGATTGTTTTTAGTAACAGTTACAATTTCTACTAGATTTTTCTTAAATAACAACATTTCTCCATACACTTTACATAGCGCTATGCTACTCAAATGTATAAGGAACAATAATGACAGGTATAGGAGACATGTTTCTGTAGATGTTTTGTAATTCTGCCTCACCTCCAGAAGAGGGCGCCATCACACCACTTCAGTCTTGCATATTGAGTCCAGTGCTTCTCAGAGCCATACAATAACACTCATTCTTCTCAGTCATTTTTTTTTTGTTCCACAATGCCCAGTCTATGGTCCTCAGTCTAACATATGTTTTTTTTTATGTATTTATTTACAATGTCTATGGCTGCTGGGCCTCTTGTCTGGAGTCAGTCCTTGTGTCCGTGGGCATGGAGACAGTCCTGGATGTGCATGGGGCAGACTCCGGCGATGAGTTGGGGTCCTGGGACGCCTCATACTGGGGAAGCTCACTCTCCGATGGGACCTCTCCGTCTGGGTTGTATGGAGGAGGGGGCAGGTCAAACCATGGGGGTCGGCTATGGGAAAGAAAATAAAATCAGGATACAGTAAAATAGTTTTTCACTTATAAGAGACTATTTTAACTTCAAAGTAATGTTTTCAATTGAGTTTGATGTTTACAACACTCTGGCCTTTGTATTCAAGGTTAATGGCACTTTTTATGTTCAATTGTGTGTAAATACTGTCATTTTCAGTTGTAATCAAGGCTCATTTTAGTTCCAAAATAGAAAACCATTATAAAGAACATCAACATGTTTGACAGATTCATTGAATTGTGTGATGAAAAAATAAATGGTTTTAAAAGGACCTATTGACTGCTGGCCGCAAAAGCACATCTATAGAAGAAGAGACATAATGGGGTGCATCAGAGCTATTGCACAGTTTGCACTTTAGGTTGGATTTGAGAGTGGAGTCATTACTGTGAATGGGGCCAAGCCATTAAAAACTGTACTTCTGGTATAATTACAATGTATTAGTTACAGTCGGCATTGTTCCTGTAGCTACTGCGAGCTATTTTTCATCTGCACTAGTGGAAAACAGCACAAAGATGTATGACTGTACAACACTTATATTTTTCATGTACTGTTGTACTGATTAATTAATAGATTGATTAATTTTACTGTGTGTGGAGGGTCTGGCACCTGCTTGTTTCCATGGAGATGTGCCCAAAATGTTCTGTGACATGGGACGAAGTACATTTCATGGATTTAACTGCTTAGTTTTTTCTGGTGTGTTTAAGGCTACATTGCCACGTTTACATCATGTTTTTTAAATTTGGAATTAATTGTGCTGAATATTCTCCTTCAAGTTTACATGGAAATAATAATTCCAAATTGAGGTTTACATGGAAAACACGTTAAATCGCCTTTATTTTATTCGCCTCAAAGTCTGTGGTTCGGGAAGGGTTCTGATTGGACAGAGACACAAACGTATTTACATCGACCGGAAGAAAATACACACACAAACTTTTACACTCAAATACAAACTTTTTTCGCAGTCGTTCCGATGATAATTAAGCAGCAGCTCCAGAATTGTCTAATCACGCTTTACGTCTGTCAACTGAGGAGGAGAAGGGAAGAGTGTCGGAGAAGGGAGGAAGAAGACAAACTGAGTCAACGGCTGCTCTACCTCAACCCACTCCTGCATCCCACTCGCAAATCCAAAGAGCAGTTGATCAAAGTCCGAAAGGCAACGCAACGAGCATGCGCTGAATGACCGGAATAATTTTTAAGAAGAATAAATGTTTAATTAATTCTGCTTTTAAATCTGAATAAGTCACACATTTACTTAGATATTTAATATTTTTCATAAGGAATTAAGTGTTAACATGGTGTTTTTAAAGCAGAATTAATTTTTATGCAGAGTTAAATAATTTTTATTCGGAATTAAGCTTTTCACGTAAACGTAGTGAATGAAATTTAAATTCCTGGACTAATACTAATAGTGCTGTATTAGCTTAAATGTAATTACTCAAGAATCGATTCATACCATTTAATAGTCTAGTGTGAAATGTTAGAACAACTGATCTAGATGTATGCCAACAGACAATATAAACTGGCAGTATTATATCTCTAGAGTCACCTGGCGTCCAGAACAGCCTGTGAGTACGACGGAGGAGAGTCCAGTGAGATTCCTGATGGGTAGAGCGTCCCTGACAGCAGCTGCAGGGCCTGGGGCGTGGAGCTGTACTGGCCCACGGCTGCACCACTGCTCGGGGACATGCGGTCCAAGATCACCAGACGAGACAGGAGCAGGGGCTGGTGGTGATGGGAGCTGCCTCGTACTCCTCTGGGAAGCAGCACGCTCCTCTTCCTCTGGTGATGAAGGACCAGAGCGAGTAAAGCCACAACCAGGACGAAGATGACAGCACTGCCAATGACTGCGTACGTGATGCTGGGGTAGTAACGCAGGCGGTAGTCCAGAGTCACAAAGTCCTGTCCTGGAGCCTCTGAAAGAAAGAAAATCAAAAGAGGTAAGTTATATTAGGTATCCAGAAAAACATATTACACAATGGAGTAACCAAGCAAAGGACATGGTGACATTATAAACTGAAACAGAGATCTAGTTATGAGATAATCACTCCCACTTTTGGTGCTGTCTTATTAATTTAAATTATTCATATATTGTATTGTTAAGGTTTATTGAAACAGCCATAAGCAATCACCATTATCTCTTATATTGACCATTTAGTCCATTCTAATGCACACTGGAGATGGATTCATTGGGCAGGTGTAACAAAATGTTCTTTTAGCCATTTTAATTCAAAATGGTCACTGAGTTTCGCTTAATTTGCCTCTTAATTAGACACTATAGTTATTAGCCTAAAATATTCAGGTTCATTTAAAAAAGAGGCCATTGCAGTCTACATAATAGTTTAACAAAGTAATTTATAGAGTCATCTGCTCTTTACTCATAATAAATGACTAATTCCACTGTACAATAATTAGTCACAGTTGGTGCTGGGAATGTATTTCAGAAAGGCCAGGTAGGGTAAATGTCTCGCCCTCACTGCACAATAACTGAACCAACGTTTGGATTACAGTTCAGACGCCACATTTCGGTGACAGTAGCTCAGTTCAGTGTGAGTGTTTGTCCACATCATTGGTTGAGCGGTCAAATCCACTGACCCACATGTTGGCGATTCCAGCTCCCACAGATGAATGCTGTTGTTGTCTCCTTGGGTAAGACACTTAACCACCCTTGCTTAAAGTGTTTGTGTACACTGGAGTATGAATATCTGTGTGAATGGGTGAGTGATGTGTCTTGAGTAAAGATGTAGTCAAGACCGTGCTAATCAAGACCAAGGCCAGTCCGAGACCACATGTTTCCAAGACCAGGACAAGACCAAGACCTCTGAGGGTCAAGACTGAAACAAGACTGAGACTTTTAAAAGCCGAGACCGAGACAAGACCGAGACCACGGTTCATCAAGACCAAATCAAGACCATCTTTGTAATTTTTGACATTTATTTGTATTTTCAGATATTTTGGCACACACTATATCAATATTTTTATAGATCTATCTCCATTTTGTTGTAGTTTTCAGCTTGTCCAAGAAAGGGTGGAAATAAAAGGCTGGAGACCAACTGGATGTCTTAAGCAGGAGAAGTTTATCTACCATCAATATTACAGACCCGGGGTAGCTGAAAAGTCAATATAGTATGATTTCAAAAGTGAACATTGTATGATCTTTGAGTGTTCAAGCCCCTTGACTAAGCTTCCAAACAAGGAGGTTTATAAAGCAAGTGTGGTGAGATTATGAAGGCCAGTAGGCACCAGTTAGACAGCAATATGCCACAATTTAGATAGTGATATGCCAGTGGTATGCCAAGGGAAGATCATGGTGTAAGTTTAGCTATTGTGAGTCAATGTTAAACTGAGATGTACGTGGAAGATAAATTACTTAAATTCTCTTACACATTTTATCACTCGTCAAGTGTCAGACCTCGTGACCAAGACTAGACCAAGTTCAAGCGCTTTCAAGCCCGAGACAAGACCGAATCCAAGCGCTTTCAAGCCTGAGACAAGACCGAGACAAAACCGAGTCCAAGCGCTTTCAAGCCCGAGACAAGACTGAGTCCAAGCGCTTTAAAGGCCAAGACAAGACCGAATCCAAGCCTTTCAAGCCCGAGACAAGACCGAATCGAAGCGCTTTCAAGCCCGAGACAAGACCGAGTCCAAGAGCTTTCAAGACCGAGACAAGTCTGAGTCCAAGCTCTTTCAAGGCCAAGACAAGACCGAATCCAAGCCTTTCAAGCCCGAGACAAGACCGAATCGAAGTGCTTTCAAGCCCGAGACAAGACCGAGTCCAAGAGCTTTCAAGACCGAGACAAGTCTGAGTCCAAGCTCTTTCAAAGCCAAGACAAGACCGAATCCAAGCGCTTTCAAGCCCGAGACAAGACCGAGTCCAAACATTTTCAAGATTGAGACAAGACCGAGTCCAAGTGCGTTCAAGACCAAGACAAGACCGAGTCCAAACGTTTTCAAGACTGAGACAAGACCAAGTCCAAATGCGGTCGAGTCTGAGATGAGATCAAGATCGCAAAACAAACAAACAAACAAACAAAAAAAAAGCCCAAACTGGAGTACTACGACACTAGTCTTGAGGGTGAAAAAGCGCTATATAAAACGATGACCATTTACTTTTTACCATCTTTGCCCTTTCTGTGTTTATAATAAAACATAAGCATGCCATTTAATTTAATCTGCACTTTTGCACAGGATTAGTTTCTCTGTCACTGTGCAACAAACACTAAATGGGGAGAGTCCACAGATCAAACTTGACTATGTTCCTCAATCACGGTTCAAACTCTGCTACAGCGCCTTTAATCTAAACACACGTGTGAAGCCATCATAATTTAGAGAGAATTGCAGCGGAGGGAAGATTGGAGGATGAGTTGTTGCACTGGAATGAGATTGGAATGAAGATGGAGGAGCCGGCGAAAGACATAAATAGTCCATAATAAATAGTTTTCAGGTTCATTTTTGGTGAAGTGTGCTTTGATTTAACACACACAGCTGCTCCGAGATGAGAGCAAGGGAGCGGTGGCACTTTACTCGACGACTACAAGGAGCAAAGGTTACTTGAGGGACCTTGCGATTTAACAAGCCCCAGCACTTTTAATACAAAAGAGGCAAAGCGGCGCAGACAGTGGGGGCTAAATAATTCCGTATGAGGCCAGGACAGTTTGCAGCCGATTGAGATAAAATGCGACAAGGAGCTGTTTCATTGGAGATGAGAGGAGGCGGAGTAGAGACCAGGGGCTGTGGCGGATTACAATGTTTGTCACAGGAAGGGCCCAGGGACAGCCATGATGAAAGCAAGCTGTGCCGTAAAAACACTGTGTGGATGTGGAGTCGAGGCAAGAGAAGGGACCACTGACTACAAGGGAGAGCTTATTATTCCAGATGGGAGCAGGGAATGGCACTTAAAGATTTGTGCTGACTGGTGATGCACAGTGGGAGAATTTCAATCAGGGAAGGCGATACACAACATGTAAATGTGTTTCACTTGTTTACAGCGCGAAACATTCTGAACATGATATGGAGATGAGATCCCAGAGTACAGATACAAGATATAGCAACATACATAACTTCAATCATGGCAACAACCAGGCAAAATGTTACAGCAAGCATGTTTTAATTACACTTACACACAGATTTGAACTATTTTATAATATTGTCAAGAGTTCATTTGCAAAAACAGTTTAGTGCCATTTGAAAAAGTAATTGGAGGCTTGCAGTTAACGTATTGCAGTTTAAGTACTGTAATATTTTCAAAAGCTGTGCAAAATTTGAAAAACAGACCCGCATCTGTTTTTGCTTCTACATAGTTTTTGTCTTTGGTCCCAACACACAGTTGCAACTTTTACTGGATGTGCATATCTTAAGGCTGTGCAATTAATTTAATTTTGATCACGATTTCATTTATTTTGGGATATTTTTTTATATAAACAAGTATATTTATTATATTTTTTTAAATACAGAGATTGTAGAATAGCTGGATATATAGTTTATTTTGGATACATTTATGTTTTTCTATGCCTTATTTCATGTACAGTACAAGTATATTTTATTCATTTTATGTTTTATACATGGCAAAACTGCTCTAAGGTACATATTTGTAGCCTATATTATTTTAATATTTATTTATTTATTTTATTTATTCATTTTCTGAGAAATAAATGCTGAATAAATGCATTGTGTAACTAAAATTACAGTACAGTATTGGTCATATCGGCTTGTCAAAGCCTGATCCCATCAGGTCTCAGAAGCTCAGCAGGGCTGGGCCTGGTTAGTGCTTGGATGGGAGGCCGCTGGGAAAATCAGGTGCCACAGGGGGGCGCCAGTCACAAAAACCGTCACTGTGTCCTTAATTAGGCCAGACACTTCACCCACATTGTGTATGCATGAGTGTTGGTGGTGGTCAGAGGGGCTGATGATGCAAATTGGCAGCCTTGCTTCTGTCAGTCTGTCCCAGGGCAGCTGTAGCTACAGTAGTAACTAGTAGCTTACTACCACCAAGTGTGAAGTGAATGAATAATGAAATGTAAAGTGCTTTTGGTATATTGAAAGGTGCTATATAAATGCAATAATTAATTAATAAAAAAATAATAATTGTTTGAATATTGACCAAAATGATCACGATAATAATTTTTTAATATCGCTATCTACCAATATTTTCAAAAGCCAAATCCATTTTACTGGTATTAAAATATAATTCCATCCCTTCTTGATAAAATCCATCAAACATTAATGTCATTGCTAATATCTCTAAAAATGGTATCAGAAAGAAAAACTTCTTTTGGCAATTTCTCAAAGCGTAGATATTGTTTTTTTGCTATTGGACTCATACTTTTGAACTCAAAAACATACTTTGAGTTTTATTCATTCAGGCAGTGATTGTTAATTCTCAGTATCCTTCTTAAGAATGCACTTTTGGCCAATAATATTTAATACAAACAAGAGAAGCTGAAATAAATTTGATTACAGTTCTTTGGTCTAGTCACTAAAAGAAATCAGACCAGGTTCAACATTTGTGATATTTCTTATGAGAATACAAAGTAAGAAATGCATCAAATTGACTCTTATTCCCCATCTGAGAGAATCATACACATTACTTCAAGTTATATAAAGTAAAATGCAGATACTATGGCTGTGAATTCAAAAGCCATATCGTTTTCCTTTCTGAGTAGCCCTTCCTCTCTCCAGGCAGTGTGAGGGTTAAGGAGGTGGAGCAATAACAAAGCGGAGAGCTGCTATTTATTAAAACACTGTAGTGAGTCTGTGCTAATGAGGAACTAGAAACATAAAAGTACAACTCAAATTACACCAACGCTTCAGGGCCCTGTAAACATCAAATCTCTGCGTGCCTCATAAAAGTTCAAAATGATCTGGATGTTGTCTGCATTTCCTTTTTACACGCTTCGGTTTAAAGGAGGACATGAGG